GATGTCAAGGCAAATGTTGTGGTGAGACCAGAACTTGTCGTGGTTGTTGTTTCAATCAAGAACAAATCTCAGGTCCAATGTGGTTCAAACCCGCATCTTTGAAAGATCTATATACGATCCTGAATGCACATTCATCCAACTCAGTTAAAATGGTTGTTGGTAACACTGGGAAAGGTAATTCATATTATACAATAATTTATTTGAACCGCATTTACACACTTTAAACGTTGTCGTCTTGTGGCATCCTGCATGCATCTAAGGTCTCTAATTTAAAAAAATCTGAAAACGAGCACTGACTACACGAGGTCGATCCGATATGAGACCGATCCAATACAAATTTTATATCGCTGCACACTGTAAAAACTAATAGGTCAATAAATTATAACAACACTGAAAACAGAGGGTTTTCGAGTTGATTCAGGACAACTTAATATGTTGTTTATATACTATAGGTTAAGTAACTAAAATTAAATAGGTTAAAACAACTCGTTACAATCATAGGCTATTTTTACTAATTTATATAGGTTCTGACCTATTCAATTGGTTAAAACAACCTATTTTTATTGGCCATAGTCAATCTTTCACAATTGAACAAATAAAAATATTAGGTTATTTAATCTATTTATACTGGTTCTAACCTATTCAAAAACAACCTACTACACTAATATTGCATGCAACCTTTAAAAATAAGCTATTTTAACCTATACCAGTTTCAACAGTGTAATAATTCTATATTATATTATCAAATCTGCTGGATAAAACAATCTCATATTTAGGTGTTTACAAGAATGATGGTGACTTCGACGTTTACATTAATATATCCGATGTTTCTGAATTGAATGTCATACAGGTAATTAAGATTGATTTTCTTTGTAAACGGATATACTCCCAAATTAGTCAAATTAACAAATTCTTCCCTCGAGAATGAGAGTTGATGAGAGAGTTGTTACGGACATTTCTACAGTGTTTCCCCCAAAATGTCTCCCTTTAGAAATCACTCTTGTGCGTTATAATTATACTTTTGGGAATTTAATTTAATTGTACATGAACGGCGGAAGTGTTTACAACTTCCCTTCGTCCAAATAATTTAACACTTCGGTTACATTTGCGTTAACGTATAAGTTGTTACGACAAATATTCTTTGCTCTGTAGTTAGTTGAACCATTCTTACTCGAACCATGGATAATAAAATAAATGGATAGGAAACTAGCTGACTTGACCTAATGTTTTCAATGGGCTGATGGCGTGGTTGGATGTTGTAACCTAGTTGCAAACAAAATTCTCAAAAACGGCATGTTTAGCAATAATGCAGCTAAACATTTTAGTCAAAGAGCAAATAAATATAACTACGCCATTCTACGATGAAATCTCTAAGTATTCCCAGTCAATTTTAGCAAATATTTCAGGCACTAAACAATGAAAAATGCATCGCCAATTTCGTTAAAATTGGCGACGCCAATTTCGTAGCTACAAATGTAAAAAAAATACAAAACAAAGACGAAAAACATTTACCTTGAATACTTTGTCGTGGCTTAGGCATGTTTTTAAAACAATTAGACCAGTTTATGCTTCAATATTACTCTTTTAAAGTCACCATCAAACACGTGCATGTGTAAATAAAGAAAATTCAACGAATTTTCTCAAATGTGTCATTAATATTTACTGTAGGTGACTGACTCCGCCCTGCAGCTTGGTGCCGCACTTTCTCTAAATACTGTAATCCAAGAATTGATGAACTGTTCTCAGAAATCCAAGTCATTTGAGATTCTTGCAACTCACATTAAAAAGGTGAAGTGAAAATGATATGTTTTTGACATACAGGAATATCCTTTTTAGTATTAATGAATAAGCGTTGCGTTCATAGTTAACTCCATGCCAAGGGTTTAAGAGCGAGCAAATACTGAGAATTAAGGCTATGTTTACTTTTGTATAGGATAGCTTGCGTGGCGACGCAAAAACCATACCGGATAGGGCTTGTGTTTACAGTCGTATCAATTTCTGCATCGAAGTGCCGGTGCAGGGCTCCGCTCTTCCAAATGGTGCGTGTTGTGCCGGATTGGTTTTTGGAACGCTGTTATGTAATATTTCAAGTATGACTATGCATGGGCTAGATTTCATGTCCATGCAATTTGATCAATCTAGTCCACAGGAGGCCCAGGCTCGATTTGCCCGCGCCCGCCTGTGCCTTCCTTATAACGAGGGAAGGAAGGAGACATTGAGACCAAAATAGCCCAGACTTGGCATATGTCACACGAAACTATCCTCGATTTTTCGCTTTTAATGCATTTCT